GGACCTCGAGATCACGACCTGAGCCGAAGGCAGATGCTCAACTGACTAAGCCACTCTTAGTTGTCTTTTCACTGCTGAAGCCCTGGTGCCTAGAACAGTGCCTGGCACTAGGTGCTCAATAAAATTTTATTAAATGAATGAATTAATCACTTGATGCTGAAATATGAGGGAGAAACACAGACTGACTCTGGGCTGTCCACTCCCCTGTCCCTTCACACTTTGGTCCTCCCTCCTCCTGGGAGCTTCTTTACAGTAAGGGTTCTTCCACCAGGACATGAAGACAGGCATCTGAGAAGTGAGAGAAAGAAGTACTATGTGTACAAGAAATATGCCAAACATCTGCATCTCTGCCAACGTACTCAGTCTACATTTACAAGCACCTGCTGTGTTCTGGGTGCTGTTCTAGGAAGTGGGGGCCGAGCAATGAACAAAAGAAAGAACCTCCCTGGTGGAGTTGACATTCTAGTGACAAGAGAGGCAATAAGTAGATAACACTGGAAATAAGTTATTTGAAAAGAAAGATGGATAAAGAGTGTAGGGCATGCACTTTTACACAGATGACCAGGGAAAGCCTCTCTGAGTAGGTGATATTTGACCAAGACCTGAATGGAGTGGGTGTGAGCCACAGGGATATTTGGGAGCTGAGTGCTCTCAGCAAGGGAATACGGAGTGCAGTGGGGCTGTGTTCGGCATGCTCCCGTGTATGTATGTAACTGCACGACTATGTGATACTGTGTGTCACCCAGTATGTCACTACTGGGTGCTTGTGCATTTGGAGTGTTGCAAAGTGAGGTGAATCATGGGTTGTGCATCTGTTGTGGGGGGGGTTTGAGGTGGTACGTTTGACAAGAAGTGTAACAGTGTGCTTCGTGTGTTTGTGTGTAGAAAGAGCTGCAGGCACATTAACTGAAATGAAATGTATCTATGTGTGTGCACGTGTGTGTGTGTAATAGCAATGGTATGGTTGTATCAGAGTGTGTTTTAGTGTGTGTGCAAGGGAAATGGTGTGGGGACGTAAATGTGGGAGAAAGTGTATGGGATGGTTTGTGTCAGGATAGGGCTATGAACATGTGGGTGATGGGGGTTCTGTAAGTAGAATATATGCAGAGATGCCATGGTGTGTGTGTGTGTGTGTGTGTGTGAGCGCGTGTGTGTAGAGGGGTGTGGAGGTGACTGGCTGTGTGGGTGGGTATATTGGGGGATGCTGTGGATCTGTTTTCTGGCCCCAGAGGGAGAGAAAAAGCCCAGGAAATATCAGTTCCGCCCCGCCCCTGGGTCTCCTGGCAACAGCACCACTTTGAAGTCACCAGGAGACAGAGTTGCCAGGGCAACAGGGGTGAGTGGCAGCTGTGGGGCGAAGTCTGGGTGAGGAGACCCAGCCAGCCATCACTTAGCCACTTATCTTGTTCCCCCTCCTTTCCCAGTTTCTCATCAATCCTACCTTCCTATCTTCATTCATTCGTTTAACAAGCGTATACTGAGAATTTACAATGATCCAGTCACTGTTCTGGGCGCTGGAGACACCTAAGTGAACAAGACAAACAACGTCTCTGCCTTGGCTGCCCCTTAGTCTCCCACCCCGTGTGCGTCTTTGTCTCTCCTGGCACCTTCTTTGGTCTATGGTCATGCCCGCCCCCTCACCCCAAGAAAACCCAAGGAGCCCCCAGGCCAAAGAGGAAGTCAGCTGAGACTCCTCTTCTCACAGATTCTCAGAGATGGCTGCTGCTTTTTGCCCACGAATGTTTCTGAGCCTGCAGCCTCCAACACAAGCTTGTGCCAATACTAAGGTGCAGAGAAAGAAGCACACAAGCTCCTCCATCACTCACCTTCTCAGCTGTCATTGGGTGACATCAGCGGAAACACACACAGACACATTTATCACAATATTCCTCTGATCATGAGCTCCATTTTACAGGTGAGCAGACTGAGGCTAGGAGACTTTAAATAATGTGCCAGTGATTAGGACCTGTTTCCTTCAACTCTTGATCCTTATATTTGTCTGATTAGCTGATTAGTTCACAATAATAATATTCGTGCTGCTTTCCTAAGCCAACTTGCGCAAAGGAAGGGCCTTTTCTCCCTCAAACGCCTCCATTCCTGCTCCCTCAAACTTAAGTTATTTGCCCCTTCACCGGGGGGAGGAGCTAGTAAAGGCCAATCTAACTTTGATGGCAGATCCATGAACCAATGGAGAAGCTAATGCATTGTAACCAATGAGACCTCGGCTTGGGCGGGATTAAGGGCAGGAACGGGCCGCTGATTGGACAGAAGTATGTTGCGAATGGCGGAGGTGCTGAGGCGGGTGCTAAACCTGGGCAGCTCGGCAGAGTCCGAGGAGGAGAACACGGCTGAAGCTGGGCCGCCCTTGCTGCTCCTCGGCGGTCCAGGGTCTGGGAAGACGGCGCTGCTATTCGCGGCGGCCCTGGAAGCGGCAGGAGAGGGCCGAGGCCCCGTCCTCTTCCTCACCCGGAGGCCTCTTCAAAGCCTGCCCCGCGGGAGAGGAGCAGCGCTCGACCCCCTGCGGCTACAGGTAACCGAGGGATGGGAGCGAAGGCGGACTAGTTAGTACCTGAGCCTATTGAGGATTGAGTGACAGGTAGACAGGCCAATGGAGGGGACGGAGGAAGAGCGAGCCGGAGCGGCCATTGTGGGGCGGACTCATTAATGAGCGGAGGGTGGGGGCGGGACCATAGGAAGCTTTGTTACGATTGGTAAACTGTCTCGGGGGGGCGGAGTTAGCGAGAGGAGACGCCCAAAAGGTGGAGTCAAGGGGGTGGGTAAGAGGTGGGGCTAAACCAGCGTCTTGTTTGGACACCGGCTTTTCTTTCGGGACCAATCAGTAGGTCCCACTGAGAGCCTACCTACCAGCGGGTTTTCCGTGGAAAGATTGACTTAGAGACCTGGCGAAAAAACTTACCTGTTCTCAGCTAATAGGGGCAGTGGTAACTGCAGGATAAAAAAAAGAAGGTGGGGGTGCCTGGCTGGCTCAGTTGGTAGAGCATGCGACTCTTAATCTCAGGTTTTTAAGTTCCATCCCCACCCACGTTCGGTGTAGAGATTACTTAAAAATAAAATATTTTTATATAAAAAAAGGGGAGGTGGGTACTAGTAGAAGAGTATTCGACCACTCTGAGCGGCTTCACTCTGGAACCAGCTGAGGCCTGAGAGCCTAGTGCAGGAAAGTATACAGGGCAGCAGGGCAGCTAAAGCTGGGAGCCTGGCCTCCTGAGCTGAATCTGGTCTTTTCCTTTTTTCCTCCCTCTAGAAGATCCGCTTTCAGTACCCACCGTCAACCCATGAACTCCTTCAGCTTCTGTGCTCTGCCCATGAGGCCCGAGGCCCAACGCCCTCCCTCGTGCTGCTGGATGGCCTGGAGGAGTACCTAGTGGAAGACTGGGGGCCCCAGGAAGCGGCTTACTTGGCTGCCCTGCTTCTAGACACAGCTGCCCACTTCAGCCACCAGATTGGGCCTGGCCAGGGCTGTGGGCTCATTGTGGCCCTCCAGATCCGGGAAGAGGGAGACAGTGGGGATGCCCTGCAGCTGTCGCTGCTCCAGCGGTATTTCCCTGCCCAGTGCTGGCTGCAGGTGGATGCACCAGGCCCCGGACAACGCTGCCTCCGAGCCTGCCTGGATCCAGGTGGGCTGGGCCCTAGAGCAGAGTGGTGGGTGGCTTTCCGACCAGATGGAGAGATGACAATCACCCCATGGCCTGCCCAGGCTGGTAACCCCAGCTCAGACAAAGGTTCAAGTTCTGAAGGCCAGCCTTGAGTTTTGGTGTGTGACAGCCTCTCTGCCTCAGTTTCCCATGGCTGGAATACTTACTTCAGGAACACGTGCAAATTCAAAGACCTAAAGAATCTAAAGTGCTTTTTCTTTTTTGAAAAATAGCATTATCATGTACCTTTTATGCCCAACCAACATATTGTTTTGAACTTTATAAAAAGTTTCATGATAAATGTAATCTTCTGAGACTTCCTTCTTCTCCCACTCAACGTTGTTATTAAGATTAGGCTAAGGGCACCTGAGTGGCTCAGTGGGTTAAGTGTCTGACTTCAGCTCAGGTCATGATCTCCAGGTCCTGGGATCAAGCCATGGGTCAGGCTCCCCTGCTGAGTGGGGAGTCTGCTTGTCCCTCTCCCTCTGCCCACAACCCCCCCCGCCCCCCCGCCTGCCCGGCTCCGGCTCGTGCTCTCTCTCTCTCTCAAATAACTAAATAAAATCTTAAAAAAGAAAAGATTAGGCCATATTTTTTAGTTCAGTCCTTTTTCCCTACTGCATATAATTCCATGGGTGACTATACCCCCATTTTATTCATCAGATTGACTTACTTACTGCTTATGAACATTCTTGCACACATATCGTGGTTCATGTCTGTGAGGCCTTTTAGGGTATATACCTAGAAGTGGAATTGGTAGAGTAGGTCTGCATATGTTCATCTTTCGTCGGTTATGTCAAACTTATAAAAAGTGGTTAAACCAGAACTCCCAATGAGCCACCTGAGGACACTGGTCACATCAGAGTACTTTCTTAGAACAGGGCCTGATTTAAAACAAAGCCTTACAAAACAGTGTCATCATTATTAGTGGCAGAGGCTAGCTAGAGGCTCATTCAACAACCTTCCTCTCCCGGGGTGTACAGCTAAACTACATTTCCCCCCAGCTGTCTGTGGTTCTAGCTGGGGTCCTGTGACTATTTCTGGCCAATGGGATTTGTGAAGAAGAGATGATTACTACTTCTTAGGCTAACTCCCTAAAATGGCCCACCAAATCTGCTGTTTGTTTTGCTTATTGGTTGGCAAGACGCAGAGGACCCATCTAAAGACCTCAGGGTGGCCCCAGGGGATGGGGAAGCTACAGACCAGAAGGGTCGGGGCTTCTGACTCATCCCAGAGATGACTGCTCACCTAGAGGTTTGCACTGAAATACGAGAGAGAAAGCACATTGATGTGTAAAGCCACTCATATTTAGGGGTTGTTTGTTACGGCACCTAGTATAACATATACTGACCAATTAGGTTTATTATGATTATTATTCAGGTTGCCAGATCCAGAATTTCAGACGGAGCTCAAGGCCTTTTTCTGCTGCCCCTATGGCCTGGGCCCAGGGAAAGATGGGGTTTACAGGATGTTTGTAGAAGTCATGATAGGAAAAAAAATACACACACATTCATGCATACACACACACACAACTCTACATTTTAAAATACTGCAAGGATGGACTGAGCAGGATGGACTGGGCAGAAAGCCGAGGTTAGCAATGCCCCTAGTCCTGAGGGAAGGCCTCACCAGCCCTGCTCAATAAGTCTTAGGCCTGGACTAGCACTTGAGGTCATGCTGGATCTCCAAACATCTGAGGGCTGGAGTCCTAGGAGCAGGCCACATAGCTGGGAGGTGAAGGCTCAGGGGCTGGGATGAGGCTGTTCTCATAAGGGTTCGAGAAGGGGCCATTCGATGAGTCCCCCTGGGCTCCCTGGGAGCCCCCTGAGCTGTAGTCAGTTGAGATGCCAGAGTCAGACACCATGAGGTACAGGTACTTTATGTGGGGTGGGGTGGGGGGCAGCTCAGGGGGCAGTGCCCTTGGGCGCAAGAGCTGGGAGCTGGGATCCAGGATGGTATACTCAAAGCTGGTAGCCAAGGCCCCCTCTGGCCCAGGCTTCAGGGACAAAGCAGATGAGCAGGAGGATGCTTCTGAGCCTTTATCCATGGCTACTATGTCCAAACCGCCATCAGGCCGTGGGAGATCCTCACTGGGTGGGTTCCGGGGCAGCAACCACTTGTCCAGCACCAGGTAGGTGTCCTGGGTATGTTCACTGCCCACTGGCTCCAGCAGGGGTCCCTCATCCTCTGCCCCTGGCTCCACCGCCTGTGTCGCCCCCCAGCAGCGCTCAGAGAGGACTTCCAGGGGGGCGGGTGGGTCCTCTGCAAAGGGAGTGCAGGGGCTCCACCAAAGACAGCCCTCATTCTGGTAGAGCCACAGCTGGGGAAACAGCACCAGCCTGCTCAGAGACCTGGGGTTCAGCCGTAGGAGCAGGGAAGCCCCAGGCCCTGAGGGGACAACCATGCCACCTACCTGGAAGTTACCCTTGTGGGTGGTGAAGAGGCCCTCAAACTCACTCTCAGGGCTTGGGATGCCAGGCCAGATCTTCTGCTTCAGAGCCCTGGTGAAGCCAGAAGAACCAAGAACATGGGTATGTGTCACTGAATACCCACCACTACCCTGTTCGGAGCAGTCACAGGGGCACAGATAGTCCTGGCCCCTTGTGACCACAGTGGAGGCAGAAGAATGCATAGGGGCAGAGGAACAGAGGCTCTGGCTTGCACCTGCAAAGGTCTATAGGTGGGCGACTGGAACAGGGTTTTGAAGGATGCATAGGAGTTCAGCATGCACTGTTGTTACTTCCCTTCTCACTCCTTTCTATAATATTCCCCCAATGTACTCAGAATAAAATTCAAACTCCTCCCCACAGCCCTGCAGACAGCCTGGCATGTTCTGACCCCCTGTCACCTCCCTCACCTCATCATTTAACCACTCTCTCCTAACACATTCTGCTCTAGCCAGAGAGCCCTTCTTGGCAGCTGCTTCAATGTTCCAAGCTCATTCCCACCTCAGGGCTTTTGCACTTGCTGTTTCTTTTCAATTTTCATGTGACTGCCTTCTTCCAACCTTCAGGTTTCCATTCTGATGTCACCTCCCAGAGGTCTTTCCTGATCATCCTGTCATGTCCCCAGGCCCCACTTGTTTCTGTGATATCACAATGCATAATCAAATATCTGTTGGTTCCCTTGTTATTTGACTCAACTATGAGATCCACAAGGTGAGGGACATGTTTGTTTTCCACTTTCTCCCCAGTGCTTAGCACACAGTTGGCACTCCGTATGTATTTTTCAACCAAGTAAATAAACAAGGCCTTGAAAGACACCTAGGAGACTGCTTGGCAGACAAGGCAGGAAGGGCATTCCGGGCAGACAGAATAGCATGTGCCTAGGCTTGAGGGTGTGAAACCACATGTTATGTGCTGGGAATTCCAAAAACCTCAGGATGGCTGGTCCTACCGTAAAGAATCTAAGGAGCTTCACCACAGAGGCAGGAGGCACTCAGGGTGTTAAATCTTTCCATTAAGCCCATCCAGGGATTTTACAAAAGTGGATAAAATTGGGAAAAGGAACGAGCAAAGGAATTCAAGAAGGAGCAGCCACTGAGGTTGAAGGAAAACCAGGTGAGTGTTCCCAGGGAATTTTAACTAAGAGTCTGGGTCTGGTCTGGCTTGCTCCAGCCCTGCCACTGACCCCTCACTGTGTGTCCCTGGGCAAATGCCTGCCTGTCTCTGAGCCTAGCTTTCCACAGCAAAAGAACGGTGGGGAGGAGTCTGGGCTAGGTGCCCGAATGGGGCGCTCACCTGCGGTGGGAGAGCAGGGCGAGCACGGCCAGCAGTATCAGGATGAGCACGAGGATGAGGGAGAGCGTCAGGATGAGGGGGTCCAAGTCTGAGGAGCAGGAAGTCAGGGTGGTGGGAATGCCCCATGTTCCGCCCTAGCCCCTCCTACGCCCCTACCTGGGGCCTCACCACTAGCTGTCAGCAGCGACGCAGGCTCGGACCAGGCGCTCCAGAAGCCACCGAAGCTCGGCTCGGCCATACGCGCGCGTACCATGAAGGTGTAACGCGTTCCGCCCCGAAGGTTGCTCAGCACGCACTCAGTGCGGCCATCCAGGATCTCCACCTGGGGGCGGGGCCTGGGTGAGAGGCGTGGCCAGATGGGGCGGGGCGAGCAGAGAAAAGCCTGGGGGGCGGCACTGAGCCAATCAAAGAAAGGAAGGACAGCTTCCCAAGCGCTGCCGTGAGGGGGAAGGGCACTGAAAGCAAGAAGCGGCTTCCAGGAAGGCTCGGGGCCAATCAGGACGGGGCCCCAGGGAGCAGAGGGTGGATTCGGGCTATTTAGGGGCGGGGCCAGAGCCTAGAGGGTCGGGACCTTGAAGGGGTCTAGTATTTGGGACACTGGGGTAAGTGGGATTGGGTCCAGGTGGGCTGGGGAGGCACTGGGAAAGAAGACATGTCAGTGGGCGTGGAGGTGTCTCGGGCAGGGAGATGACGGGCGTCAGAGGCGGGGCCTGGAGGGGCGCGGCCAGGGGGCGGGGCCGTGGTGACCATCTGGGCGGGGTTTGGAGGGAGGAGGCGGGGCTGTCCACCATGGAGCCTTTGGGGCTGGCGGTAGAGGCAGCCTCACCTTCTGTGCGCCCCCCGCGACGTTGCCAGAGGAGATGTTCACTTCGTAGCGGATGAGGCTGGCCACGGGGGCCCCAGGAGGCGGGAGCCAACGCAGTAGCACGTGGCCGCCCTCGTCGGCCCGCCGCGCCAGCAGCCCCGCTGGGGGGTCCAGGAGCACTGAGGAGAGGGGTTGATCAGGCGGGCGGTGACCGTGACTCCCTCACCCGACAAGGTCCCCATTCCCTGCGCACTTACCTACTTCGTTGATGTGGATGATACGGTGGTAGCGTGGAGCGCCCGAGGATACCGCTGTGACGCGCAACTCTAAGGGCACGAAGCTCGACGTGTCGGCCGTGGGCAGCGAGCACCAGAAACGCACAGCGCCGCGAGCCGTGGGCGCCTGGTGCAGGCTGCATGGCTTCCATGGCTCACCCCTGTGCGCCAAGGGGCCAGAGAGGCGAGGGGGCAAGTTGGGGGTGGGGGTGCGACAGGTTGTTATTGCCTGGACCGTGGGCGCATTTTGGGCACCACCACCAAGGGGCGTCCCAGCCCCGACGCACGCGACGCCTTAGTCCTATCGGAGGGGTGCCGTCCCTGCCCTACAGTTTGGGATCGCCCTCCAACAGAGATCGCGGGAGTGTTCCAACCCCAGCCACTAGGGGGCCGTGTCAGCCCTGACCCCGCGGGCTTCCCACCAGTGACCACCCGGGCAGGTGCCATCCGGTCCCGATCCCAGCAGATGTCCCAAAGCGTGAGCTCCGGGGCGAGCTCTGTCCTGCCCACCCGCCCCGTCCTCAGAGCGTGGGGGCGCTCCACCTGCCCCGCTGCACTCACTCGAGCTGGTAGAAGAAGCTGTAGTTGTCGGGGCCGACCCCGGCGCTTGCCGCTTCCTCCCAGAAACACACCAAGTCCTCCAACCGTTCGGTGAAGCACAGAAGCTCTTCGGGCCCGCGGGCAGCCAGCAGGGCCGCTGCGGGTGGGAACAAGGGGAGGGGGTCGGGGGAACCCTGTCTTAGGGCCACCGCGTCCTCCCCCCTCCCTCCTGCCGCCTGTGCCAACCGATAAGAAAAAAGCCCCGCCTCGCTCTCTACCCCAAGCGGGGCCCCTCGAAGGGTCCCCAGAGGTGGTGCCCCCCGAACTCCCAAGCACAGGTTGCTTGCCTTACTGTTCCCACACACATCCGCGCCCACCCCACAACGCGCTGGACTGCGCGCACCTAGCCAGGCCTCCGCCTCCCGCTGCCGGCCCCGCCCCAGGCCAGGCCAGGCAGGCCACTGGATGTGTGCGGAGGTGGCGGGCTCCCCTATCGGCCCCGGCAGGCTGCCGGCGGCCCGATAACGCCAACCGTGGCCCCCTCCCCCGCCCCTCCCCTCAACCCGGCAGGCCGAGGGATCTGGCGCCCGCATACAAACCATGTTTACAGTCGCCAGCGGCCCCGGGCCCTCTGCCTCGGCCCGGGCTTTGTCCTCCCTCCCTCCAGTGAAGGATCGGCTAGGTCCCTCTCTCCTCAGGGACTCTAGACGTCGAGGCCTAGACCCAGCACCGCCCCTGTCCCATTAGGATATATCATGTCCCAGTCTCCCTGGAAAGATAAAACGGGAACCTTATGTCCCCCTCCAGACCCAGTCTGGAGTCTTAGAACCCAGTCTGCTACACCAGGTCCCAGTCCAAGAGATTCAGAGACCAGCTTGGCCCTGAGGACCTAAACTGGAGGTTCGGAACGCGATATGGCCCCCAGGACCCAGGCTGAAAGTTCAGGCCTGAGCTTTGCCCCCAGGACCTAGTGCGGGGGTCCCACACCGATCCACCCTTACCTTTACTTTCAAACTTGGGGTCCAGGGGTTTGGGTGGGGAAGCCCAGGCGGCCCCAGCGAGCAAGAGACAGAGAGAGCGGACTCCAGGCCAGAGGTACGCCCAGAGGTGATCCATGATGCAACCCCCCGCGACGGGGGGCCCAGGGCCCCTGCCCCCCTTCCGCCCCTGGCACAATCCACAGCTGGGTCAGCAGCTGCCTCCGCCGGACACAGCTGACCAGGCCCTTCCCGGCCAGGCGCCTCCAAGTGGCAGCTCCCCCGAGGGGGCGGGACCACACGCAGCCTGGGCTGAGATAAGCGGGAGGAGGCCGCCCTGCTGGTCCCGCGGGAGGCCCCAGGGGCCCTCAGGCCCCCCACCCCACCCCGCGGCCACTTGGGGGTCAGGAACAGTGCCGGTTTCTGCAGCAGGCACACTTTCTTACTGTGTGACCCTGGGCAGGTGACATATCTGAGCTTCAGCCTTCTTGTCTGTAAAACCCGGCTTGGCACATAGCAAACATTCCCAAAATGTAAGATACTGGTATTATCGTGCTAATCAACATCTCTTCCCAGTCTGGGTGGGAATAAATAATCATAAGAGTGACTGGCGGTTGAGTGTTTGCACGGTGCTAGGCAGTGTGGCCAGACAGTATGTACCATATGATCCTGTATTGGTAAAATAACATACATTCTGGAGGTTGAGATTTGTGCTTTCTTTGGAAAAGTTTTACTGTTGGGATATTTTTACTGTTGGGATTTTATTTTACGAGGAATGTGCAGCTCTTTTAATCTGTGAAGTAATTATAGTACACACGGTGAAAGCTATTCGCTTGGGCTGAGCTTCTCAAACTAGGGTAAACACCCCCACAGGGGTACACCTGCCCGGGGCGCTTTGACGCCTGCCCTCCCTCGACTAGCCAGTCAGAACACTCCATTTCCTGGAGTACCGTGATTGGCTCAGGGTGGGCATGTGACCCAAATGGATCCAATGAGCCTCCATCCTGGGGCTTTACCCGAAGTTCCTGGGGAAAAAGAATTTGCCCACATCCCATTGGCCAAGACTTAGTCACATGGCCACATTTTGCTGCAAGGGTGACTGGAAATGTTTTCTATTTTGGGTGGCCAGCTGAAAATCAGGGGTTGTTCTGTTGCCACAGAGGGTGATTGGATTTGGCAAGGTGTAGTGTGGGGCGTGGACACAGTCTCATTCTCAGGGCAAATCAGAGCCCTGAGACCGCAACATAATCCTGATGACCTCTTTTGAATCCCTGGATCCAACTGTGATTGAAGCTGGGCCCACTGAACTTTTCATTTACAAGAGCCATTGGTTTCCTTTTTTTTTTTTTTTTAAGATTTTATTTATTTATTTAACAAAGAGAGAGCGACAAGGAGAGGGAACACAGCAGGGGGAGTGGGAGAGGGAGAAGCAGGCTTCCTGCTAAGCAGGGAGCCCGATATGGGGCTCGATCCCAGGACCCTGGGATCGTGGCCTGATTCAAAGGCAGACGCTTAGCGACTGAGCCACCCGGGCACCCCAGGACTGGGTTTTTGAACACTTGAAGCACAAAGACCCCTGATCAACAGTGAGATATAAAGATATAAAGGGGCACCTGCATGGCTTAGTCAGTTAGGCTGACTTTGGCTTGGGTCATGATCCCGGAGTCCTGGGAACGAGTCCCGCGACAGGCTCCCTGCTCAGTGGGGAGTCTGCTTCTCCCTCTCCCTCCTGCTTGTGCTCTCTCTCTCAAATAAACAGATAAAAATCTTTTAAATAATTTTTAAAAATTTAAAAAACAGTGAGCTATTTTTTTAAAAAGATTTTATTTATTTATTTGAGGGAGAGAATGAGAGAGAGAGAGCATGAGAGGGGGGAGGGTCAGAGGGAGAAGCAGACTCCCTGTAGAGCAGGGAGCCCGATGCGGGACTCGATCCTGGGACTCCAGGATCATGACCTGAGCCGAAGGCAGTCGCTTAACCAACTGAGCCACCCAGGCGCCCAAAACAGTGAGCTATAAAGCTGCTAGTTGACGTTCGGCACAGAGTAGAAGTTCCTCAGTGAACACATTATTGTTGATTGTGGTTGTTGCTGGTTATGACTGTGTCCTAGGTGGCCCTATGGCTCCCTTTGTCTCTGCCTTCTCTGTTTCCTCTCCCTACCCCAGTATAGGGAGACCGTGCCCCCCTCTCCTTTCATCTTCACACCCTGTTGACTTATGGGTGATGGTATTTATCTCTGATCCCAATGGATTTTCATTTCTTCACTCTCCCATATGCATGGCAGAAAAGAAGCATAACGCCCCCCAAATGCTGGGGAGTCCCAACCCCTGTGTGTGTGATAGTCCCCCGACCCTCTGCATCTGGTCGTGTCTCACCTGAACCCTTTCACAAGACTCTTAGATTTTTTTCAGGTTTTGGTTTTGGTTTTTAATTTCTATCAAGATAGAGAATATAAGGCCCAGGCTCAGAACAGACAAGACAGACCTGTTTCATAACTTTGGTCACTATTTTCATCCACTTCTGTCAGTTCTGATGTGTTTCCACCAGTTACAAGATTTCTCTGGGGAAGGGCCTGCCCCCCCACACACACACCCTACCAGCCTTCTATGTTTACGGGATGAAGCTCTTCACCCGGCTGCCCATGGGCTGATGGCTCTGGAATAAGGATCTGGTGCCAAGAGGGTCAGAGAGATGGTGTCCAATGGGCTAAAGTTGGAGGTGGGGGGTCATGGGGTACAGAGTACAGTGGGCTTTACTGGAGAATGGGACCTCTCTGGGAGAGGAACCCTCTCCCTACTTCCATGGTGACAGAAACTAGGCCTCAAGCTGCCCTGGGGCTTGTGACCTAGAGGGAGAAGGGGGCCCCCTCAGGTTGAGGAGACTGTGGTTGTGAGCCGGGCCCTCTCCTTCCGCCGCAGCACAAAGTCTCCGGGGATGGCTGGACTCATTGCGTAGAAGACATTGGCGTTGTCAGGAATCAGGAGCTCTGGCCAGGGTGGACATGATGGTCAAAGGCCTGCACAACCTCATACTTTCCCCACAAAAGACCTAGGTAACCTTTTGCCATTCACCTGTCTATTCTGCAGAACCTTGGGTCCCTTCAGCCAGCACTAAGCCAACCTTATTCTCCTCTCACTGGGAACGCTGACAACTTCCCACTCAGAGCCTGCACAACCTCATGTCCCTCCCACCTTGCACCTGGGCAACCTCCCGCTATTTCCCTCTGGAGTCTAGACAACCCGCACTGCAAGGTGGGACAAACTCAGGTCACCCATCCCAAATGACTTCCTGCTCACCCACCCTTCCCCCAGCTAATTCCGAGCCAAATTCATGCTGCTCCCACCATCAACTTGGACAGCTTCTGACTTCCTACGTCCAGCCTATACAATCTGTGGCCCTCACTCTCGACAGCTGAAGCCAAACAGCCTCCTATATTCCTTCCTCATGTCCCACCAACCTCATGTCATATCCTTTTGCATGTCACCCTCTTGCCTCTCCTTCTTGAGAACGGGGTGACCTCCTACCTGTATCTGTATTGAATGACATCGTGCTCCCCTACCCTGAATTTCAATACCATGTGGCCCTCTCCCATGACAAGTGCAGATAACTTCGGAGTCCCCATGCTGAGCCAGGGCAAGCTCATCTCCTCACAGATTCAAGCCCAGACCCCCTTTAGACTCCTACCCCACCAGGCTGAGCCTGAATGACCTCATGATCCTACAAATTTAAGCCAAGACAACCTCCTTTCCTCCCTCTCCCATTTGACCCTGGACAATTTCATTTCCCCATAAATCCTAAGAAGACACCTTTATTGCCCCTTTCACTCACACAGCCAGGGCAACCTCATGACCCTGCAAAATCGAGGCACAAATTTTTCCTGCCTCTTACCCGCACCCTGCTTCATCCTCCCCCTACTCTGTCAGAGCCACCTCCTGGCCCCATTAGGCCAGCCTTGACCCTAGTCAGTCTGCTGCCCTCCGAGCTAACCCCCAGCCCAGGCTGCATGCAGTCCCTGCTCACCCCTGTCCCCAGGAAGAACTTGGAAGAGCTGGTAGTCCCGGGCCCAGGGCTGAGCCACATTGTGCTTTTCCAGGGCTCGCTGCACCACGCTGGGGGCCTTGTCCTGACTAGTGAGCTGGGAAAAGAAGGTGGGTGGTGAGGTGTGACCGCCAAGCCCCAGGGGGCAGGGCTGCCCCAGCAGGTTCCTGGCTCCGCCCCCCTCACCAAGATGCTCCGATACAGGTTCCCGTGGTCATTGTCAATGCTGACGCGGATGACTCGAGCCTCCGATCCCTGCTGCCCCGGTAAGGAGATGTGAGAGCTGCTCAGGGGCAAAGTCAAGGGCCGGGAGCCCGGCAGGTCCGGGCTCAAGGGCAGCTGTGGGCAGTGTGGGGGGGTAGGGGGGCTGAGTGGTGGGAAAGTTACATGTCCCCCTACAAAAGCGGAGCTTGGGGACAGGCAATTAGGGTGCACTCACAAGCCCGCATCTATGCAATCCCACCACATACAGACCTTCGTGCCCTGTGACAAAAACAAATTTACACATGACCGTAAACATAGCACAAAGCTGTGTTTACACACAAGAAATCCTGTGTGCACAGAGAGCAGCGAGTACACACATACGCTTGTAACTGTTGTACACCCACAAGTCCGTGAACAGCCCCATTCAGGGTCCCATGGGTATTGTGGATATTTATGCCCATGTGTCCCCTTTAGGTATGCCAATTCCTGGGGACATGCATATCCTTGCAAAAGTATAATCACGCCCTGGAGTGCCCTGTGGGTGAGCTGACTCATCCAGATCTGTGCATAAGCCAGACTGAGGGACAGTCCCTCAAATAGGGCCATGAGATGCACATGGTCTCCTGGACAGATACTCCGAGTGCTCAGCCAATCATGTGTACAGTCTCTTACGTACATGCCTGGCTGTGAAATCCCATGGACACACGCACACATGCGCACACACACACACACAGCCCTGGGTGCCCACAGTCCCACATGCACCCAGGCAGGGCTAGTACCTTGGTGCTGGGGCCCTGGGACCCTGGAGAGGCCGGGGGACTGCCAGGAGGAGGGTCTCTGGTTCTAGGACTAGATGGGGGGGACCCTGGGGACAGACTGGGGGAGATGCAGAGCCTGAGGTCGAGTGGCTGCCCTGACCTCTGACCCTGCCATCTCCAGGCCTTTCACTAACTGGGATGCTCACCTGGAGGTGGGGGAGGAGGGATCCCCAGGACTCCCACCAGGGGATGAGCCCCTCTCTCGGGACAGCTTTCTAAAGACAGAGACAAGGGATGAGGATGAGCCCAGACCCAGTCCCAGGAGCAGCCTCCCGTCTCTGCCCACATCACTCCCCAGGCACACCCCAAGACTCACGCACTGAGGCGCTTGGTGAGGCTAATTCGCCGCCGGATGCGTGGGGAGCTGGGACAGGAAGCAGCAGGTGGCTCAATGACACGGGAGACTCGGTAGCTGAGGAGTCAAAGTGCACATTGGGGTGGGTTGGGGCCAGGAAGCGGCAAGGAATGAGATGAAAGCTAGGATCAGTTGGGAGCTGCGTTGCGGGTATGTAGTGGGGAGCAGCGGAAGGTGGGCACCAAATGTCATGGTCAAGGTAGCAAATGGGGGGTTGTTATGGCATCAGGGTCTTATTAGGGATGAGACGGGATGGCTTGGTCGGCAGGTCACACAGGGATTCGCAGAGTGGGATTGAGGAGTAAAATTTGGTCAAAGATAGAGTTCAAGGTCAAGTAATCATTGGGGTCAATGATTAGGGTAAAGGATTCAACAGAATGAAAAAAAACAAATGGGATAGTGGAGTTGGATGGTCAAATATACATCTAGTTGGAGTCAGTTATTCAGAACTGGGGAAAGATGATTAGGCTCAGAGATTCAGACTGGGGTTACAAATGGGGTCATAGGACAGATAGGGTCAGGACCGGGGGAAGAGAACAGATGGGACGGGTGAGTGGAATGGCCAGCCATACATGAAAGACTGAAGTCAGAAAGTCAGATGGGGTCAGAATTTGAGGTCAGAGGTGAACTGGGGCCCTCACTTGGGCTGGAGAAAATGCAAGGTCATAGGATGGGGGTCAGGGCTCAGGAGGGTGTCTGAGGAGTTGGAGATGTACATGGGGTAAGTGGGTCTAGTGTGCCATCCGGAATCAGCCAGGGTGGGGGCTGGGCCGGGCCTTGGGGGGGCAGGGGGAGTCACCTCTGCTCCTCGCTGAGCTGGCGCTGGGTGCGCAGGGCAGCCAGGACAGGTGCACGGGGGCTCAAGCAGTAGCTCCGACATCGCTTCTGCAGCTGCTGGATGTGGGCCAGGATCTCCCACTCCTGAGGGGGCGGCCTCTCAGAACCTGCCCCTGTCCCACCCCCAGCCCCCATGCCCACCCCAGTGTCACTCACCTTCCTCCTCTTCTCAAAGTTGATGAGATCCCCCTGGGGGCAAACTCTGTCTGAACTGGAGCCTCCAGAATCAAGGACTGAGGGTCAAGGTCAGGGGCTAGATGTCAGGAGCCCCACTGCCCTAAGGGGGCTGGGGTAGGGAGTGCGGGCAGGGGTCAAGGGTGGGATGTCAGGAGGCCCACTGTGCTGAGGATAAGTGGTGCTGGGGTCAGGAGTCAAGGGTCAGGGGTCAGACCTCCAGCATGTCCGGCAGGGCTGTGTCCAGCATAACCAGGTCCGTGAGAAAGGTGCCAAGGTAGGGGACAAGGCCCGGGGGCAGTTTCTGTGGTCCCCAGAGCTTCAGTCACTTTCAGCCGTCACTGACCCCATCACGTACCACCCCATTCTGTGAGGATCCTGCTTGGCCCCCATCCCAAACCACCTCACTCACTGGGGGCAGGCTTCCTGGGAGGGTGTCCTCCTCTTGGGGGCCCTCAGTGGCCTCCTCCTGTGGGGAGGGAAGAAGTGAGCAGTCCTGGAGTCTCTCTGACCCTTCCCTCAGGGAAGATGCCTCAAGACCCAGCATATTTGCCTGTTTTGCTTTCAGCAACTACCAGCGGCTTGTAAAGGCCAAACCCAAGGAATATTGAACAAGGCACAGGCCTGTCATCCATCCCCTGGAAATGCCCTGCACCTTGTCTTCATAACATCGCTCTGTCTGGTATTTAATTATATAATTGCTAGGCAGTTGTTAATGCACGGTGTGTTTCCCTATTTACAGCCTGATTTCCCTCCTGGGCAGGAACTCTGTCCGTCTGGTTCATGGTGGGGTCTCCCGGCACACAGTAGGTGCTGAATTCAGAGCTCCCTCTTCCTTGACCTCTTATCCGTACTTGAGACATGCATTCGTTCGCAGATATTTACTGAGCAGCTATTCTGGGCCAGGCACTGTTCTGAGTGCTGGGGAGACAGCAGTGAGCAAGAGACAAAAATCCTGGCCTCCTGGAGCCGACATTAGCGAGGGAGAGACAGCAACAACCAAGCTCCACATGTAGCAGGCAGAGGTAAGGGCAATAAAGGGGCAAGCGGAGTGAAACTTGCAGAAGGTCAATGTGAGGAACGTTCTGGGCCGAAGGAACAGGCTTCACATTCCATCTATTCTAGATTCACCCTAAGAACCAGCACCTAATTACAGTTAGAATCTCAGTCTTGCCTACAATAAGTCCGACTTGTTGGCAGACAATTTTCAGTTTTGCTTATCAAAGTCGAGTCCTAGTGCATTTTTTTTTTTTTTACATTTTACTCTTTGCTGTGACTCTGGCCCTCTGGCCTCAAGTGACCTTTTCCATGTAACTTCTGGTATTTGTTGAATGAATAAATAAGGCAGTCACTGAGTGTGAGCTATCATGAGGGCAAGCTGAGGCAGTAAAAAGGGGTGCTGCCCACAAACAAGGGGAAGGTCATCACTGAGGTGGAGTGAAAGGACACTGAATGTTTTGACAATGACAAGCGGTGCCCGGCCCCACGTCTCCTTTTTCCCTTTTTGGGCCTGGGATCCTCGGGGTCCACACCCATCTTTACCTGGGAAAGAATCTCTCTACTACTGAGGTGGTTGTTCTCATCGGAGAAAATCTGCGAAAGTTTTCTGAAAGTGGATAACCGTTCCCTGGGGGGTCAGGACAGGGGTCGGTGTCAGGGGCTGGGAAAGTCAGAGCTGCGCTGGGGAGGACGTTCCGCCTCAGCGACAAGCCCCCTTCCCAGTCCCCCCCCCCCCAACCTCACCTGCTGACGGCGCCCCAGCTGCGCTTGAGCCTGTATATGGGGTTAGACTGTAGGGCGGACAGTATGGCCCGCAGCGAGGAAAAGTTCCGCAGTTCCCGGCAGCGCTGCGGGGGGTGGGGTGGGGGAAGCTGGTGACACCCCACGCCTGACCCCCAGCTATGATTCACCTTTGATTCGAGACTTCTGATCCCAGGTCAGACCCCTAGGACTGGCCGACAAGCTCCCAGGAGTCAGTCTCGCCCCTCAGGACCCGGACCCTCCCCCACTTGCAGCCCCAGCCCCTCCCCCAGCTGCCCCTCCGTTCCCTACCTCTCACCCTGGCTTCCTTTGTCCCCACTCCTTACTCCTACTCGAGCCCTAGACGTGCCCACAGTATCCCTCCTGGACCCAGACCTCGCCTCCCCGAACCTGTTTCACCCTGGGTATCAACCATCTACCCCCTTCCCCTCCTCCC